ACCTGATGCATGATGACTGGTGGTCGAAACAGTTAGACTCACCTGATGCATGATGATGACTGGTGGTCGAGCAGTTAGACTCACTGATGCATGATGATGACTGGTGGTCGAGCAGTTTAGACTCACCTGATGCATGATGATGACTGGTGGTCGAGCAGTTAGACTCACCTGATGCATGATGATGACTGGTGGTCGAACAGTTAGACTCCACCTGATGCATGATGATGACTGGTGGTCGAGCAGTTAGTACTCACCTGATGCAGATGATGACTGGTGGTCGAAGCAGTTAGACTCACATGATGCATGATGATGACTGGTGGTCGAGCAGTTAGACTCGCCTGATGCATGATGATGACTAGTGGTCGAGCAGTTAGACTCGCCTGATGCATGATGATGACTGGTGGTCGAGCAGTTAGACTCACCTGATGCATGATGATGACTGGTGGTCGAGCAGTTAGACTCACCTGATGCATGATGATGACTGGTGGTCGAGCAGTTAGACTCACCTGATGCATGATGATGACTGGTGGTCGAGCAGTTAGACTCGCCTGATGCATGATGATGACTGGTGGTAGAGCAGTTAGACTCACCTGATGCATGATGATGACTGTGGTAGAGCAGTTAGACTCGCCTGATGCATGATGATGACTGGTGGTCGAACAGTTAGACTCACCTGATGCATGATGATGACTGGTGGTCGAGCAGTTAGACTCACCTGATGCATGATGATGACTGGTGGTCGAGCAGTTAGACTCACCTGATGCATGATGATGACTGGTGGTCGATCAGTTAGACTCACCTGATGCATGATGATGACTGGTGGTCGAGCAGTTAGACTCACCTGATGCATGATGAATGACTGGTGGTCGAGCAGTTAGACTCACCTGATGCATGATGATGACTGGTGGTCGAGCAGTTAGACCCACCTGATGCATGATGATGACTGGTGGTCGAGCAGTTAGACTCGCCTGATGCATGATGATGACTGGTGGTCGAGCAGTTAGACTCACCTGATGCATGATGATGACTGGTGGTCGAGCAGTTAGACTCGCCTGATGCTGATGATGACTGGTGGTCGAACAGTTAGACTCACCTGATGCATGATGATGACTGGTGGTCGAGCAGTTAGACTCACCTGATGCATGATGATGACTGGTGGTCGAGCAGTTAGACTCACCTGATGCATGATGATGACTGGTGGTCGATCAGTTAGACTCACCTGATGCATGATGATGACTGGTGGTCGAGCAGTTAGACTCACCTGATGCATGATGATGACTGGTGGTCGAGCAGTTAGACTCACCTGATGCATGATGATGACTGGTGGTCGAGCAGTTAGACTCACCTGATGCATGATGATGACTGGTGGTCGAGCAGTTAGACTCACCTGATGAATGATGATGACTGGTGGTCGAGCAGTTAGACTCACCTGATGCATGATGATGACTGGAGGTCGAGCAGTTAGACTCACCTGATGCATGATGATGACTGGTGGTCGAGCAGTTAGACTCGCCTGATGCATGATGATGACTGGTGGTCGAGCAGTTAGACTCACCTGATGCATGATGATGACTGGTGGTCGAGCAGTTAGACTCACCTGATGCATGATGATGACTGGAGGTCGAGCAGTTAGACTCGCCTGATGCATGATGATGACTGGTGGTCGAGCAGTTAGACTCACCTGATGCATGATGATGACTGGTGGTCGAGCAGTTAGACTCGCCTGATGCATGATGATGACTAGTGGTCGAGCAGTTAGACTCGCCTGATGCATGATGATGACTGGTGGTCGAGCAGTTAGACTCACCTGATGCATGATGATGACTGGTGGTCGAGCAGTTAGACTCACCTGATGCATGATGATGACTGGTGGTCGAGCAGTTAGACTCACCTGATGCATGATGATGACTGGTGGTCGAGCAGTTAGACTCGCCTGATGCATGATGATGACTGGTGGTCGAGCAGTTAGACTCACCTGATGCATGATGATGGACTGGTGGTCGAGCAGTTAGACTCGCCTGATGCATGATGATGACTGGTGGTCGAAACAGTTTAGACTCACCTGAGCATGATGATGACTGGTGGTCGAGCAGTTAGACTCACCTGATGCATGATGATGACTGGTGGTCGAGCAGTTAGACTCACCTGATGCATGATGATGACTGGTGGTCGATCAGTTAGACTCACCTGATGCATGATGATGACTGGTGGTCGAGCAGTTAGACTCACCTGATGCATGATGATGACTGGTGGTCGAGCAGTTAGACTCACCTGATGCATGATGATGACTGGTGGTCGAGCAGTTAGACCCACCTGATGCATGATGATGACTGGTGGTCGAGCAGTTAGACTCGCCTGATGCATGATGATGACTGGTGGTCGAGCAGTTAGACTCACCTGATGCATGATGATGACTGGTGGTCGAGCAGTTAGACTCGCCTGATGCATGATGATGACTGGTGGTCGAACAGTTAGACTCACCTGATGCATGATGATGACTGGTGGTCGAGCAGTTTAGACTCACCTGATGCTTGATGATGACTGGTGGTCGAGCAGTTAGACTCACCTGATGCATGATGATGACTGGTGGTCGATCAGTTAGACTCACCTGATGCATGATGATGACTGGTGGTCGAGCAGTTAGACTCACCTGATGCATGATGATGACTGGTGGTCGAGCAGTTAGACTCACCTGATGCATGATGATGACTGGTGGTCGAGCAGTTAGACTCACCTGATGCATGATGATGACTGGTGGTCGAGCAGTTAGACTCACCTGATGAATGATGATGACTGGTGGTCGAGCAGTTAGACTCACCTGATGCATGATGATGACTGGAGGTCGAGCAGTTAGACTCACCTGATGCATGATGATGACTGGTGGTCGAGCAGTTAGACTCGCCTGATGCATGATGATGACTGGTGGTCGAGCAGTTAGACTCACCTGATGCATGATGATGACTGGTGGTTCGAGCAGTTAGACTCACCTGATGCATGATGATGACTGGAGGTCGAGCAGTTAGACTCGCCTGATGCATGATGATGACTGGTGGTCGAGCAGTTAGACTCACCTGATGCATGATGATGACTGGTGGTCGAGCAGTTAGACTCACCTGATGCATGATGATGACTGGTGGTCAAGCAGTTTTCATGGGCAGTATGAAAGAACTTGACACAGAACATTTTGTATTTTAATTAACCTTAAGTTTTGAGTAATATGTTATGTCGACTAAACGCATACAGCAGCCTTAAAGTAAATATTTTCATAGTGCTATTGTTTACATTAGATATATTCATAAGAATTTACTTGGCGAGCATATTTACACAGGTGATTCAGTAACTAATTATGACTTCACGTTCTCACAAGAATATTGTGCAGTCTTCTCTATTATAAAACTCCTCCAAATAGTTTTTTTTTTTTTTTGTAACTATGACTGGATAGTTACATTCAGAATTAAATATGAGTTTCTGTGAAGACCTATACACGAACTGTTCAATTTTAATGCAGTTTTTCAAATGTGTTTTCAAAAACTCATACAACAGCTGTATAAGTGAGCTGACTGTATTCATTTAAGTGGTGTACTGATACTACCTCATACTAGGAAATATTACAGAAATACTGTATGTTGCATTTGTATAGATTAATGGAGGCTAGTAAATGTTTAATAATTAAACTAGATAATAGTGTACAAAGTTGCTTTGAATGTAGTATTAGCAGACAAGTCTTTGTTAGATGAACAAAGCTTCAGTCATGGGTCAGGAAACAGGACAAATATCAGGAGACCTCTTTCCTGTTTCCTGGAAAATCTTATCTAACCTCTGAAAATATCAGAAACAGTCTTCGTGATGCCTATACAGCTATCGTCCTATTTTACGATACACTTCTATACAGTGATCCTTTATTTGTTAATGAGGTGAAAACATGGCTATGGATACTGTGGATGCTTAACCACTGATGAGCCGCAACTGATTAAGATTCGTGTCAGGAGACGATGTTATTGCCTGACGAATAAACCAGCATTGTGAACACACCTTGGCTCTTGGAGATGCCTTATGCATCAGCCACCATCAAGGCAAAAGAGTTATGCATAGTAGATGCCGAAACCTAATTAAATTAAAAGAACACAAGTCTGATCAAATATGTAAATCCCTTTACTCTAAACAGGTTAATGAATGTTCAGCACCTTTGTCGATACTGAATGGGTGATCTCCGGAATGTGGATTCCTCTGGAGTCTTCATTCTCCAGTCTTAAGAAGAAATCTTATATGATATTGGCCTGAATGTGACTTCTAAGCCAAATCGGTCAAGCAGTCCGATGTGCCAAAACATGTTTTCAAATTTATTATTTTCCGTACCGACCAATATACCTTACGAGAGTTTATACAGAAAGCAAATTATTGTCTTGCACTAAAATTAACTTCACAGCCTAAACTAACCTTGTTTAAATTAATATTATAAAGTTTAATCCTTCCGAACTTTGCTAAAAAAGTGTGTTAGAAAGAATAAAATCCATTACTTGAGCCAGGGTTGGGTTTTGTTAAAGCCTTCCTTAAGGTTATAAGAATAACTTTGATAGCTGTCGACAAGACAGGGGTTATAATACCAATTTTCATCATGTCAGTACCTATGCGCCGGTGGGATCAAGGTAAATCGTGAATTTAGAAACAGTTAACCTCTGCTAGTAAAACTAAAGAAAGATACCTAAGAACACGTGAAAACTGCCACAAGACTGATCACTTGTGGGCAACACAGGTAACTACATCCACAAGATTAAGCACTTAGTATTAACACAGGTGACTGCAACTGCATAGAAACAAAAAACAACTACTAACACTAGCTAGCCTACTTGAGGATAATGTAATAGAAAGTAAGTGACTGGTGCCAAAATTCTGGCCTCAAACCTGAGCACAGGTGACTGGTGACACAAGACTGATCAACGTGAGGGTACCTTACCTGAGCGACTAGTGCTACATAAATGGTGCACATGAGGATGACATACCTGAACACAAGTGACTGCTGTCACAAGAGTGGCCACAATCATGCGCAAATTGACTTTCGGGACCATGTTTACTCTGCAGACGCTGAGGGACTTCTGCTGGCGCTGGTATCATTACCACTTATATACATTACCATCCTCCCCCCAGTTCACCGCCACCCCCTCCCTCCCACAAACCACTACACCAATACATCCAAGATGGGCGTCTAAAGTATAAAAACTTTTATTAATATAATCGAAAAACATCATTCATTACGACATTTTATATTTAATAATGTAAAGGACAGTTGTTCAATCACAATTAATCGATAGTGAAGATAGCAAGAGTTTGTATTTTGCTAAGTTCCTCTTCATATGCAAATTTCAAGAGATTAACATAAACTGATAATTCTGCACCTCAGTGATGTGATATGGGAGTCTAAAGACAGAGAAAAAGGCATGAAAAAGAAAAGGTAGACCGGAAGATAAAGGAGGCGAATCAGGTGTAATAAAAGAAAAGTGGAGCAAAAGTACAGAAATACGAGAAAATAGGGTTAAGAACTAATAACTAAGTCCCGCTTTTAGTTGAACTATAAAACAGTCTGAAAGAAGAAACAAATTCTAGGGAAAATATAGGATTAACAAGGTAACAGAAAGGTGAGCATAACGTTTGTACACAGTTTTAACAGTCTCCAGCTGCTGTATATTGTATATACACTCAGGAGAAAAAGTATAATAAATATAAGATCTTAAATATTAAAATATTCATTGTCATTATTATTATTATTATTATTATTATTATTATTATTATTATTATTATTATTATTATTATTAATATTAGCAGTAGCAGTAGTAGTATAGTAGTAGTAGTAGCAGTAGTAGTAATAATAGTAGTAATAGCAGTAGTGGTATTAGTAGTAGTAATAGTAGTAGTAGCAGTAGTAGTAGTAGTAGTAATAGAAGTAGTGGTATTATTATTATTATTATTAGTAGTAGTAGTAGTAGTAGTAATAGTAGTAGTAGTAGTAGTAGTAGTAGTAGTAGTAGAGCTGCAGTAGTAGTAGCAGTGACAGTAGTGTTAAAATAATAATATTATTACAGTAAATATAATTATTAACATCTGATTGGGATTATTAACTTTTTAAAATGAGCAAAATTAATTTTTTTTTATATTTGTAATCGACGGTAGTAATAAAAAATATTAATAAGCGGATTAGTACTATTATTAGCGTTATTAGTAACTGTTGTAACATTATCATTTATGTGACAATTAATATTGTTAATAACATTCACCTATTTGTGGTTGCAGGGGTCGAGTCTTAGCTCCTGGCCCCGCCTCTTCACCGGTTGCTCTTCACCGGTATGAGTGTGTGTGCGTGTGTGTGTATGAGTTTGTGTATGTGTGTGTGTGTGTGTATGTGTGTGTTTGTGTGTGTGTGTGTGGTGTGTGTGTGTGTGTGTGTGTGTGTGTGTGTGTGTGTGTGTGTGTGTGTGTGTGGTGTGTGTTTATGTGTGTGTGTGTCTGTGAATTTGTATATGTGTGTTGTGTGTGTGTGTGTGTGTGTGTGTGTGTGTGTTTATGTGTGGTGTGTGTGTGAATTTGTATATGTGTGCGCGCGCGCGCGCGCGTGTGTGTGTGTGTGTGTGTGTGTGTGTGTGACTCAACAATCAATATTTGCACCAATAACTCACTACAGTTGTGACCGGGTGTGGAAGTGTGAATTGCTCATTACTCTAAAATTTGTTCATGATTGTAGCCATGTATAAACGTAAGTAACCATTCTTACAGTATTCATTACCTTTGTAACTTGTAAGTTCATTACCTTGTACCTAGTTCAGCCATCCAAACTTTGGAGCCCGGTCCCTGGACCCATTGTGTACCTCTGTAATCTGTAAATACCTTTGTAACTTGTCATGATTGTGACTAGACCTACCCGGAGTTCATTACCTTTGTAATTTGTGAGTTCATTACCTTTGTAAATTGTGAGTTCATTACCTCTGTAACTTGCTCAGCTATCAAAACTTTGGAGTCCAGTCCCTGGACCAATTATGTACCTCTGTAATCTTTTGACTACCGCCCACAGGATGGGTATGGGGTGCATAATAAACATATTAAACTAACTAACTAATAACATTATTGTCATTATTATTAACTAATTCAATTTAACTTTTAGCGGTCAGGATATGATGGATTACTTAAGTAAATACTACTTCTCACAGCATGATATTGATACCCTCAGATGCACTGTCACACTTTTGAGATGGGAACGAACTTCAAGAATTTGAATGTATTTTCTCAAATATATTGGAAGAAACAGCCGAAGCTGTAGTGTCCGAGTCAGTGGGTTCTAAGACTGTTTCCCATTCATGTGATTATTACAATCATGCTGCAGTATCATGCTGCAGATAATGAGTGGAAATGCTGGTTGTGCGATGCTTACGTCATGTATGTTTCAGTGTTCCTGTGGATAATGGGTAAAAATGCTCTGGCTACTTCATACATGTTTTTTTTATATTTTATTTAAAAACGGTGTATACAAAAATACCAAGCATCCAAGAAATAATACATAATGTTACATTACAGAGGTTCGAAACCATAATAACAATATATAAATGAAAACAAAACATATAAATTAAATCGTAACACAAGGAAGCATATAGTTTAACATGTGTTTCACAGAGACGCAGACATAAAACAGATGCTTATGGAAACCTAGAAATGAAACATTATAACAACCCGGATGCAACATTCCTGTGCAAATAGTTACTATAAGAATACAGCACACACTGCAACCCCCCCCCCCTATCCCCAACAGCTGTATCTGCCGTGGCCCGGTGGTCTGGTGGCTAAAGCTCCCGCTTCACACACGGAGGGCCCGGGTTCGATTCCCGGCGGGTGGAAATTCCGACACGTTTCCTTACACCTGTTCACCTAGCAGCAAATAGGTACCTGGGTGTTAGTCGACTGGTGTGGGTCGCATCCTGGGGGACAAGATTAAGGACCCCAATGGAAATAAGTTAGACAGTCCTCGATGACGCACTGACTTTCTTGGGTTATCCTGGGTGGCTAACCCTCCGGGGTTAAAAATCCGAACAAAATCTTATCTTATCTTATCTTATCATAACCAAAACTATAAAATAACATTAATTAACATGGCTGAAAATATAAACATTCTGAAACACGCTTCATACATAACCACATTCCTGCATAACCGAGGAAATACAAATGCATAAAAACGTGTATTACATACATACAAAAACCACAATGAATACAGCGGTATACACAGACACAGCATACCTCTCTAAACACGTAATTAACACCTACATAACAATACAGCATAATAAAATACTCTACGTAAACATACCATCACTTCATAGATACTAAGTATTAATAATAATACATAAAAATTAAAATCCAATAAAATCCCCCCCTAAAAAACATAAATCAACAGAACTTAATACAGAAGCTTTCTTAAACACGCTTCATACATAGCCACACTCTGCAAGACACAGGAAGTACATTTGTTAAAAATGATACATCAGCATAATAAGAACCTTCACAGTCATATTGCACATAAGAGGCTCACAGTCACATAAAGTACCAGACTTCATACCTTGCGAAATTAAAGCTCCATTTTACTCATACCAGTTTCCTGAAGGGAATCTGCCTCACAACCCCCGTGTTTCTCATATCCCCAAATTAAAATAAGAAGAATCATAAACTTACCCACAACCAGGTCTCAACCCCTCACCTCGCATAACACATGTCATTAAAAATTCCCTGACACCAAGCCACTCACTTGACCCACACAACTCGCATTACACCTCTTGTCCTCCTCAAATGCACCAATCACGCCCGCGCCTTCCTCAAGAAGCCAGCTTCGTCACGTCCCCTGAATCTGTAATGCCCATAAGTCCTCCACTCGAAAGCTGCGATATCCATCTGAAAATTTGAAATACCATCAGTTCCCAGTGATATCTTTATTCCTCCTTTGTGTCCCATAAAATATCGCTGCCAGGGCCCTAATTCGCTCCCTCACCGGCGCTCTCCGTAAAACCCACGAAGTATACACGAAGTCGGCTACCAGATAACCCATCGCATTTTGTACCGGCACCCCCACCCCCCTCCCCCACATCCAAACTTAATGCTCGTAAAACACAAATACCACCCCCACCCACCATACATAAAACCCTGCTAAACCACTCTCTCACTGGCTCCAACCTTTCACAAAAATATACTGCATGGAAAACAGTGTCAATATCCCCACACTCACAACACTCCCGTCCCTCCTGCACACGCCTATTACCTAACAACTCCCCCGACGGCAGTATATTATGGAGAAATTTCAAACATTTCAAGCGCCCCCATATATCACTCCATGCAAACCCACAACCCTAGCAACTACCTCCCCACCACCCACCCGAGCCAGTGTACCTACCTTAACCCCGCAGGGTTCCCTTGCATAACACAACCTCAACATTCCCTCACACACCTGAACATCCTTACCCCTCACCCAATGTACCAAGTCCCTTCTCACCCATGCCAAACCTGTACCTGCGATTTGCCTCCCTCAAATAATTGTTTTAACGTAATACCAACAACTTTTGATGCAGCCCATTAACCCCAGCCCTCTCTGGCGTACCGGTAGACACACATCTCTCGACAACCATTCACAACCCGAACCCCAAATATATCGATACATGCGCTTCAACAGACGCTTCTCATCACATGTTTCCAAGGGATATATACCTGCCACATGCCACAGCTTACCATACAGTTTCAATTCACCACAATTTGCACGGGTGGGGGAAAACGTCAAACCTCCTGTACGCAAACCCGCAAACCCGCTACTCTACCCAAAACCCTATCCACAGCTTCTTTCGAATTCACCTTCCGTGCCTCCAGGAGATTTTCCATGTGAACAACCCCACATACCTTAAGTCTACTTACCAGGGACCAACCTTCACCATGTTCGAATACCCCACCCACACCATCCCCCACCCTCAATAAACTCGACTTTTCTCTATTAAGCGTCATCCCTGTTGCCATGCCAAAACTCTCTACCAACTCACTAACCCTACGTAAATCTTCAGACCTTCTAAAT